GGGGGTGTCATTAGCTTCCCCTTTATGGTGTTCTATTGAAAGGGGTATCGTCCTCTAAGGGAATGTTCCCCAGGACACAGCAGGGACCTCAGCAAACTAAGGAGTAAACAGAGAGGAAGCTAAAATGGTTACATGGATGCCTTTCATTCCTGCTATCCCTCCCACATCGTAATTTTTATGAACAAATGGTAGCTACTGAAGAGTGTGTTGTGTGTGTGTGTGTGTGTTTCTGACTCACCAGCAGCGGGGCTCATAGACAAAGCCACCTGGTACAATTTTGTCATTCAATCTGAGAAATAAATAGCATCTCAACCATTTATTAAACGATTATCTGGAAGTTTGGTGACTATACCTTCCACATATGTATTCTCTCAGAGAGTGTGACAATGATTTCTTCTTTCACATTTGCGAATTGACTTGAGTAAGAGACCTTAAGAAGCATAAAAATCAAATCACATTTCTGGACATATTTAACAATCCACCACTATTGGAGGGAAATGATGTGAATGGAGACACTGCCAGAGAATTGAGGACCTCTGGTCATAGTGCTGAATGTCCCCCTGAGCACAAATGTAGGTGCCCATCCATGCAGCTGTTCTCACTAGGCCTGCCTGGGAGATGCAGACCAGCCCCAGCAGGATGTCCAGGTTGACTCTGCTCTCTCCTGCTCATTGTCACTGGCTGTCATCTGTGGCCCAACCAATAGGATGCTCGGAGCAGTGACCCAAATGGTTCTGCTGACAGTGAGAGTAGGGTAACTTTCCTGTGATCAATAGACAATGAGATTTTAAGGGACATTCAGATGATGGCTGAAATGGATTTCTAGCAGAGGACCATTCTATTAACAATTTATAAAGATACAATTGACTCCTTACTCCTTACCCCACCCCACCCCCCTCTGTATCAGGCAGAGAGCAGGCATTTCCTGTTTCCCTCAGAGGTGAGTAGTTAAAACCCTACAATGCCCATCAATTTTCCTTGTGTTTGCCATTACTTAGAAACTCGGGTACCCAGACCTTCGGCCAGGCCGTTGACTTCATGGGCACTTGCCTCCAAATCCCCATGGAATGTCACAGTGGAGACTTTCTTTTTAGATCAAAACTATGAAGAGTGTCCTCAGCTCATAAAGATAGCTAGTGCTTATTGATATTTTCCCATTCACTAGTCATGGTTCAAACGCTTCACTACACATTGCCAGTCAATTCTCCTACAGTTCTATGAAGCAAAGGTTATTAATTTGCCCGTTTCATAGATGACAAACCTGGAGCTTACCCGTGATTTACATGTGTACATCATTTGGCTGGCTAGGAATTAGCAGGACTCAAACTCAGCCTCTTTGATGCCGAAGAATAAAGCCTTATCTGCTCTGCCAAGCCACGCGCTGGCCGGGAGGCTTTGCCTTCGCCTATGCTTTGAGTGTGCTGTTGAGTCATAACGGTGACGGATGAAGCCGTAGAGGAGCAGGATGAGTCAGGGCTGTGTGGGACAAAAGGCCGGAGCCTTGCACTAGCTGGGGGGTTTGCGTACATGGAAGGGGCCTCAAGAGGCACCCCGAGCGCAGGAAGTGTAGGAGGATGACAAACCTGGGAGGTGTGTGGCAGGTGTGCATCTCCAGGGTGCTTTTCTGTCTTTCCATTACTGAGGATGCTTTGCTCACCTTTTCCCTTTTCCAAAGACTATACAGATGAACTTTATACCCAGGAGGTGCTGACAGTGAAGGAGGAGGGATATAAGGAGCAGTGGTCCTTGAAAAACAGAGCAGGTAGAGTCTACACCACCTGCCCAGCCCTCTTAGGGAAGAGAGAGGTTGAGAGGCATGAGATAGTGTAGTGGACAAATGGACTCCAGGACAAGTTAATGCTCCTAGAAAAAGTAAACAAGGCAGGCACTGAGGGGTCTTGCCCCCAGGGCAGAAGGATGGGGCTTTAAAGGAAATAAGGGAGGAAACCCACTCCAAGGGTGCTGTAGTAGGAAGGGATAGCTGGCCGTAGGAAAGCAGATGCTTAGGAGTGTTCAGATAGCCTCTAGAGGCCCGGGCGTGGTGGCCCTCTCCATGGAGGGGCAACTGACAGCTGAATTTCAGGGAGATTCATTCTAAGTGTTAGAGGGAGTATTTGACATTCCCCAGGATCACTGTCTGAAGCTGGTCACTATGCAGTGGAGCAAGTGGTGGGAAGATGGGTTCCTTTGAGCAGAGAAAGGGGGAACGGTGATGGCTGTAGCAGGCCTGGTAGTGAGACCCACAGTACTTTACATGGACTAAGCAACTGAGGCTGGGTCCTTCCTGTTAGAGCTGGTTGTCACGCATGAGCTTGGGCATGAGTATGCTGGCATCGGTGGGATGCTGCGAGGCACGGTTAGTGTGTCTATGTGTGTATGAGCGTGTTCATGTTTGTATACAGAGCTATCGGACTAGCCATTTGCTTAGCTTAGTGCCACATACTCCCTACTGCTCTGCACCTTGACTGTGGTTTTCAGTTTATTGACATTCATTCCCGATTCTGTGCATGTGGCTGTGGCTCCTGCAGGGCCAGCCTTCCTTGCCTGAGTACTTCTCTTCCTCCTCTGCAGGCATTTTATGCTCCACACCTCTCAGCCCCCCAACCCCCTGCCCGGCCTCTTTCCAAGTAGGACTGTGCTTGCTCACGGCTGCCCAGTGACTCTGTGCCGCTGTTAGGTCACGGACATATAAAGCTGCAGGAGCCCAGGCTTGCCAAATGCCTTCTCATTTAGTTAGGCTTTAGTTATCCAGACAGGCTCCAGATATACCCACTATCCTGAAAACCCTTTTAGATACAACTTGAAATGTTTGGAATGGAATGGGGGCAACCAGAATGAAAGGTTTGGAGCTTTAAAAAGGAACCCAGGGCTGACTGGTCCAGAAAACAACCCAACCATAGGGATACATACTATAGACAAGACTACTGGAGTTACCCGGGGAGGAAGCTGGTGATGCAGAAGGAATGAGAGCCCTTAAAGCTATGGGAGGGAACTGGCCAAGTCTCTCTTGGAGAGAAGGTGAATGCCTGGCTGCTGACTTTCAGATTTTCCCTGGGGCACTGGAAAGGGCAGGGGTAGGGCAGGGACAGGGCTGTCTCAGCTGTTGGTGACTCAGAGGAGAGCAAACTGGAGGTTAGATTTTAGATTTCAGCATCTTCAGAGGGAAAGGGGGAAGGAGAGAAAGGGAGGAGCTAGAAAAGGTGTGTGTGTTGGGGTGTGTGTGTGTGTAAGAGAGAACACGTGAGAGCTAGTGAGTATGCTGGTCAGACAGACCCACAGAACATCTGCCCTGGAAGGTAGTCAAGTGCAGACTCTTGAGTCAGAAATTAGACTGTGTGGTTTAAAGCTCTGTTCCACGATGTGTCAATGAACTTTTCTGAGCTTCTATTTCCTCGGCTGTAAATGGGACTAATTGTATCTATTTCACAGGGTTGATAGGGGAAGTGAGATAAAGCACAAAAAGTGCTTAGCATAATGCATGGCAATAATAGAGCATAATAAATGTAAAAATTACTACTGTCATTGGCCTGGCATTTTTTTAAGACTAATACAAAACGAGAGCACAGGAACAAGGCTGGAAAGGCACAATTCTGTCTTGTAACAAATGGATTTCATTAATGGCTTCACACAGAAGCTGGTGGGGCTGCTGGGATGACCTTTGCCCTCATCTCCTCTGCAATTCCCTGGTAGGGAGGGGCGAGCTTTGCAGGTCACCTTACTGATTTTTTTTCTACCTCCTGGTCAATACCCTCTTGATGTCTTTCCCCAATTCTAGACCCAGAAGGTCCCAGTACAGTGGAAAGAGCCTGAGTTTGGGAGTCAGGTGGATGGGTTGAAACTCTTCTTTAGCTACATCCTGGTTCTGTGACCTTGTTTGAGCTGCTTATCTCTCAGAGCCTCAGCTTCCTTCCCTGTAAACAGATCTAGCGTCTCCTTCAAGGGGTTCTTGAAGGATTAAGTACTATGTAAAATGCCTAATAGACATCTAATAAATGCTGGCTTCCTTCCCCTACACTCGGTCCATCAGCAACTAACCTTTCAGGTTTCTTTGCATAACTATGTGGTGAGCATTACACATGTAGACTTCTAGAAGGCCAGAGCAGGCAAGGCTCAAAGATCAGTCAAACCTGATTCCTATTCTCCGTGATTATACTGACGACGATCCTGGACACATGCTTTTGTCACGCCTCCCTGCTCCCCTCCCGGGTGACTGGGAGTGAGGGAGGAGGTGTGGTTTTACATCCAGGGGTGGAGTGCCTGGAAGGTCCAAATATATTCTCTGAGGAGGTGTCGCTGCATGTGTCATTCCTCAACAGCAGAGCACAGAGACACTTCACCCAGTTTGAGAGATATTCTGGGATTTCATGACATACCAGTAGTGCCTTGGGACATCACAGATGCCTCCTGTGTGAAGCCTCCTTTTCTATCAGAACAGATTTCACAGCATTTATTCAAAGTGCTGCTCATGATTGTGTTTGGCTGGTTTTCCCCCCAGCAGGGGTTCTCAGACTCGTGTGCATCAGAATTACCTGGTTAAAACACAGATTGCTGGACCCACCCCCAGAGGTATTAAGTGTGGGGTAGGGCCTAGGAATTTGTTTTTCTTACTAATTCATAGGTGATGCTGCTTCTGCTGGTCTGGGGACCCCGCTTTGAGAACCACTGCCTTAGAGAGTTTCTCCAGGGAGACGAGCAACAAAAATGCATAAAACCCACAGTGCAAGTCCAGTCTCCCCTCTGGCATTTCTCCATTGACTACAGCAATATTTCCTCTACCCTGAATGGAGAGTTGGGGCTATGCCTAAGTTATTACTCAGGGATATAAGATATGGTTCCTTCATCCACGGATTGCTTTCTCTGTAAGTCTCAGAAAGATGAACAAAGCCAGTAATCCAAGAGTAGCAAGGATGAGTCAAAATTAATATGATATAGAAGAAGCTCTGAAGCAGAGTTTTGACCACAAGACTGATTTTTAGTATGGAAAGTACAATGTCCAGCCTGACTTTCCCCACCAATATGATGTCTCTCTCGCCATTTTTCTTTCTTTTCACTGTTCTGTTCCTTTTTTCTTTTCAGAGACATGCAGAAGCTGTCCTGAAAGTAATAGAAAAAAATTTAAGAGAACAAAATTTTTGTTCTAGTATTTTTAGGGTAATAGCCCTCAAACTGTATAGGCATTAAGAATCCCTGGAGCCCAGCCAGGCGTGCTCAGCAGTTATGCATCAACCTAGGATCCAGCTGATTGGGGTTTGATTCCCGGTCAGGGCACATGCCTGGGTTGTGGACTCGATCCCCAGTTGGGGGCCTGCAGGAGGCAGCTGATTAATGATGACTCTCTCAGCATTGATGTTTCTCTCTCTCTCCTTCTCCCTTCCTCTCTCTGAAATCAACAAAGATATATTAAAAAAAAAAAAAGAATCCCTGGAGATGACCATTCAGTCATTTGGAATAGAAGAAATACCACACTTGGAGAAACAATGCTTTGTGATAATGCAGAAAACAGGGAGCACTCTATTGTCAAGTAGAAGTGTCAGTTGCTATCTGAGACTCTGAAAAGATTTTCTGGTGAGACAGGGAAGCTACTGGGCCATCATCTGTTTTTTACAACTACAAGTTTTTATTAGCTTCACTGGTGATAGGAGGCTAGAAGATTCCAGGTAGCCTGATTAAAACTCTGGAGCTGTTAGTATACATTTGGTCTCTCTGCTTTCATGTGTCACTACTGTTCTTATGGCCAGCAGTCTCATTTTTGGATCACCACTAGGACTCAGTCCCATTTCTGCTCTTGAGCATCTAGAAAATTCCCAGCACCTAGTTGGTACTTCTTTAGGACTATATATTGTTTTTCCTCGGGAGAATAGTCTTCAGCAGTGATTTTCAAGCTGTCTTGCCAAAGTATCTAGGGTAGCTTTCAGGGAGCAGAGAGATTCCGGGCTGCCAGGCCTCTGAGCTGGTTCACAGCTTGGAGCAGAGCCCTTCTAATTACTGATTTTACTACTTGACTTTGTGGAAGATATCTCTGAAGGAAGGAGTTATTGCTTAACAAATATTTACTATTTATCACATGCCAGACATTCTGATCTTTTAAGAAACTGAAAACCAAAGAATTGGAGCAGCGCTTGCCTATCCAGTCTAGCTGCATCAGAATCATCTCAGGAGATGATCCCAGAATCTGAGTTTTTAAGATTTGCAGGTAATTCTGATATTCAGTCTAGTTTGGGAGTCACCAGGTGAAACCCATGTTTCTCAAACTTGCCTGATGGAGCTTATTAAAAATATAAACTCCCAGGCCTGCCGATTCAGTCTTTCCAGGGATTGACCTCAAATATCGTATTTTGAAAGAGTTCCCCTGCACCGTCCCATAATCATCCAAGGAGCTCAGAAACCCTGCCCTGAAGCAGGTTTTGTTCTAGGCGGATGGTATACTTGGTGGTGACACCAGCAGTTTAGCTTTTGTTGCTTTCTCCTGGCACACTTCGCAGATTTTGCTTCAGCTTACTGCACCTTAGACATTTAAATTTTTGAGCCCCAGTTACAGGAATCAGCCTCCACCGATGGCTCCTTTCCACCCAGCACAATTGATCTGGGCATCGGAACTGATAAAAGAAGTGAGGCTGGGCAGAGGCCCTCATGCCATTTTGTCAGCTCAAGAATGCTGGAATTCTTCACAGGAGCATCCACTAGAAAACTAACCAGACATGACAAGAAAACAAGCTAGACATGAACTAGTTATAGATACAGATTTCTGTTCATTATGTTCTTTAGAATCTTGACAATAACTAACTTGATTTGCACACGAATGGGCGACTCTAGGCCCCAACTGCTTTTTCTTGCTTTAATCTTATTTGAGTTGAGAACTGGAGAAATCATTTCAGACAAAAACACTCAAAGACTCGCCGCCGTTGGTTGGTGCCCTTGATCTTGTAGAGCCCAAGAACTGCGCCCAGCTTTCTCCTCCCAGTGCCTTCCACCTGGCCTGGTCCTGAAGCCGCCACTGCCAGCCCTTCAGATCGTCCTTGTCACTGAGGCAGGTGCCTCCGCCAGCCTGAATTGGGGACCCAAGTAGGGTGGCCTAGTGGACAGTTTGTGGGCTTTATTTTCAGACACCAGAGCTAGAGCCAGGCCCTGGTTTACTTGTTGGGTGTCTCTGGGCATGTTAATTTCCCTGAATTCGTTTTTCTATCCACACATTGGGAGAAATAACATCAATTCTATGGGGTCGATGTCACATATAGTGAAGCATCTGGCCTATAATTTATATCAAATCTCTTGCCCTGGGAACTCTCGAAAGAAAAACCCTTCCATGTTGTTCCTGTCTAACGCCTCCTTCCCTAGCTTCGTTTGCCCCAATCATGTGTTTCCTTTTCTCCTCTGTGGGATGAGGGTGGGGTGGTATTTAGTTCTAGGTTCCAGGATATCTTCCTGTTGCCCCCAACTTAGTTCCCCTCCACCCTTTCTGGGTTCCTGTAGTATATACACTAGCCAGCTACCTGGGAGGGAGGCTGGGTCTACGGTTAACAGAACTTCCCTCTGCACCCACGGTTCCAGGGCAGTGTCTGAGGCTGAGGTGCTGGCTGCCAGGCACCGCGAATTCCCAGAACCTGGACATACCAGACCCGCTCTTTCCAACCATCAGACACGTTCCCAGTGTGCTCTTGGTACAGTGGAGATGAGTGATACACCCTAACCTCCCTAAGCCTCCCCATGCTTAATCACTTCTCTAGGTTCTCCTTAATGACACACTTCTTAAGATCAAACCCTCTCCCTATTTCTTCCCAGTGATCCTTCAGAATATCATTGCTATAATTCTATTTTTTAAGTATCAAGTGCCCTGTTTTTCAGTGACGAGAGAAATGCTTTTCATCAGTAGAAGAGAAGAATCATTCTAATAACCACCTCTGTTTCCTGTCTTAATTCTCAGTATTCCTTGTGTCTTTTTCTTCCATCTGCTGCCCAGATTCTCCATTCTCCACCCTCCACCCCCCGGCTGTCCCTTGAGTCTGGAGGACTCTCCATTGAGAGCATTTTATCCCTGTGTCCATTAACTGGTCCCGCAGGGCCTCGGGATCCAGGAAATCGTCCATGGTTAATGGGACAGAGGAGAGAGGCGAGGGAAGAAGGATCTGCTGTCTCTCTCGTCTTTGAATAAATGGACATCCTGAACTGGACTTCCTCTGTGGGCCTTAATTGCTTATTTTATTAGAGTTACACTCCATTTTCACTTTCCGTCTGCCTTTCCCCCAGAATCCTGTGTTTCCCAGTGACTGAGCTGCAGCAGCTGGGCTGGAGAGACCACAGATGGTTCACTCAGGCTACAGAGATCCTGCTCCCCACCCGGCTAAATGCTGCCTTCTTTTCTAACCCTGTGCCTTTAGATTTTGCACTTGGCTTGCGTGGACCTTGGATCTGGCTCTGAATTGCAGGGCTAACCACACAGCAGCATCTTTCTCAGTTCAGGACATGTCAGTCAACTGGAAGGGAGAAAAGATGGGAGGAGCAGGCTGCCCCGGACGGTCCAGATGCCCTCTCCGTGGGTTAAGGGTCCCTGGGCTCCTCAGCTAACAGTGCTTCCCCTCACATAGGTACACCTCTCTCTCCACCCCTTTCTCTCTCTTTCTCTCTTTCTCTCCCTTTCGTTCACGCACGCACACCCACCAGTTATTTATTGTCTCCATAACTCCTTCCAGCAGCACAAAATAAAGGGCCTGTCATTTGTGTCACATTGAGTGCTTCTGTGTTGAATTGTTTTCCTTCATTTGCCAGGCCTCCAGCCCAAACAGCCATGTGATCAGTTTGATGCACATGGGTGATTTTAGATCCTTTTAACCCAGATAAAGTGAAAGAGAGAAGCCACCTGGGGTTTGGTGCAGTTAATCCATCCAAGCAGTTTCTTTCCAGTCTCCTTTTCTCTTTCCCGTCCTGAGGAAAGTCCTCTTCTGCAGTCGACCACTCCAGTCTGCCCTCAGACCTCTCACCACAGCCTGCCGCACCCACCGAGGCCAGGGCCTCTGCTCAGGGCAGGACCTCCCGAGATCTGAGCTGCTAAGTGTTTGGAGTGTTTGATTCAGACAGCAACTCTGAATGGATTAGAAACTGGCATCTCTGGTATGCACCACATAGAAATGAATGAGCCAGATGATATTTTGTTCCTTTCTGAGTGGTTTGGCTATAGTTGTTCGGGCCACTTCGAGAAGTATTTGATATCTCTGTCCCCTGAATGTGATCGCCTGCAGCCTCCTACCAGAACTTCCTTCCTGAAGGTCTAGCCCATCCTTCCAAGTTCCTTGGCTCTGACACATGCTTGGCTTGAATCTCTTCATTGGTTTCCAGGGAAGGACATGGCAGCTGTGCAGAGGACCCTGATGGCTCTAGGCAGCGTTGCAGTCACCAAAGATGATGGCTGCTACAGGGGAGAGCCATCCTGGTTTCACAGGTAAAATCCCTTCTCCACCTTGCTGGAGCAGAGGCTGATTTTAACAAAAGGGAGCTGCTGAAGCCTTGTAGCTCCCAGAGGCTATTTCAACACAAAACATCTAAGGACAAGTACTTCTGGCTCCACCACTGAGTCCCCCAGAGCAAGGGAAGACCGATGCTGATGTTCAGATCAGCATCCACCCAGGGCAGAAATGGTCGGGCCTTTCCTACCATTGTTTCCGTCTCTGCCCGGGTTCTGTTTCTCCTGAGACTGAGCAGGACTGAATTGCTTTTCTCAGAGGTGGCCTGATGTCTGAACTTGGTTTTATTATGACCCCAGTAGCCCTGAATCAATCTAATTATCTATTTATCTAGCTATCCACATAATGAAGGGAAAATACGTCCTATTGCCTAGGACAGTGGTTAATGCCTGCTGTCTTGGTATATTTATTAATAGCACTTTCTTTCACTCTCAGAAGTAGCCTGGTCTGGATAACAAATTATATGGTCATGTCAGTAAAGGTCCTTTTCCTAAGGAGATTTGTTTTGTTGTTTTTTCAGGGGGTCGGGGGTAGCAAGGGAGCTGAAACTCAACCCAATAACTCAGTGGGAGATGAAGAGAAAATAATTTGTTGTACCAGATAACTGACTCTTCATTTCCCTAACCCCCTTTTCTTCTTGACAGTTATGAAAAGGTGTAAGTCTGTGTCATTTTAAAAGAACCTGGCTTGAAAATCTAGATATTGGCCAGCTGAAATCCTGGTTTTAGTCCCAGCTTCATTAATGACCTGCCATGGTCTCTATGGCCCCCAAACCAAAATTACTTACTATCTGAAGTTTACTGACTTCTAGTCTAGAGTAAGAAATTTCTCCTTTATAACTCCTGGGTCCTTCAGCTCTAAAATGGAACATGAACCCTTGGCCTTTGCAGGAAAAGGGTGGAACGGGATTAATGACATGCTTTGTAAGAAGAGCTGGCTTTAATTTTCATAAGTGTTTGAAGTAACTGTGAGAGAGAGGGTGACAGGAAAACTGAGTGTGAAATCCTCAGAGAGGTAGCTACTGATCTTTGCTGGAAATTCTAGAAAACCATCTGGGCTTCTAAGGAGTAAGAGATCCTGCATCATGGCAGGGCTTGCCTGTGGCGGGGGTCATTGCTTAGGGTAGAACCATTGCTCAGAGTGGGGCCATAGCTCAGGGTAGACTCACAGCTCAGAGTAGGGCCATAGCTCAGGGTAGACTCACAGCTCAGAGTAGGGCCATAGCTCAGGGTAGACTCACAGCTCAGAGTAGGGCCATAGCTCAGGGTAGACTCACAGCTCAGAGTAGGGCCATAGCTCAGGGTAGACTCACAGCTCAGAGTAGGGCCATAGCTCAGGGTAGACTCACAGCTCAGAGTAGGGCCATAGCTCAGGGTAGACTCACAGCTCAGAGTAGGGCCATAGCTCAGGGTAGACTCACAGCTCAGAGTAGGGCCATAGCTCAGGGTAGACTCACAGCTCAGAGTAGGGCCATAGCTCAGGGTAGACTCACAGCTCAGAGTAGGGCCATAGCTCAGGGTAGACTCACAGCTCAGAGTAGGGCCATAGCTCAGGGTAGACTCACAGCTCAGAGTAGGGCCATAGCTCAGGGTAGACTCACAGCTCAGAGTAGGGCCATAGCTCAGGGTAGACTCACAGCTCAGAGTAGGGCCATAGCTCAGGGTAGACTCACAGCTCAGAGTAGGGCCATAGCTCAGGGTAGACTCACAGCTCAGAGTAGGGCCATAGCTCAGGGTAGACTCACAGCTCAGAGTAGGGCCATAGCTCAGGGTAGACTCACAGCTCAGAGTAGGGCCATAGCTCAGGGTAGACTCACAGCTCAGAGTAGGGCCATAGCTCAGGGTAGACTCACAGCTCAGAGTAGGGCCATAGCTCAGGGTAGACTCACAGCTCAGAGTAGGGCCATAGCTCAGGGTAGACTCACAGCTCAGAGTAGGGCCATAGCTCAGGGTAGACTCACAGCTCAGAGTAGGGCCATAGCTCAGGGTAGACTCACAGCTCAGAGTAGGGCCATAGCTCAGGGTAGACTCACAGCTCAGAGTAGGGCCATAGCTCAGGGTAGACTCACAGCTCAGAGTAGGGCCATAGCTCAGGGTAGACTCACAGCTCAGAGTAGGGCCATAGCTCAGGGTAGACTCACAGCTCAGAGTAGGGCCATAGCTCAGGGTAGACTCACAGCTCAGAGTAGGGCCATAGCTCAGGGTAGACTCACAGCTCAGAGTAGGGCCATAGCTCAGGGTAGACTCACAGCTCAGAGTAGGGCCATAGCTCAGGGTAGACTCACAGCTCAGAGTAGGGCCATAGCTCAGGGTAGACTCACAGCTCAGAGTAGGGCCATAGCTCAGGGTAGACTCACAGCTCAGAGTAGGGCCATAGCTCAGGGTAGACTCACAGCTCAGAGTAGGGCCATAGCTCAGGGTAGACTCACAGCTCAGAGTAGGGCCATAGCTCAGGGTAGACTCACAGCTCAGAGTAGGGCCATAGCTCAGGGTAGACTCACAGCTCAGAGTAGGGCCATAGCTCAGGGTAGACTCACAGCTCAGAGTAGGGCCATAGCTCAGGGTAGACTCACAGCTCAGAGTAGGGCCATAGCTCAGGGTAGACTCACAGCTCAGAGTAGGGCCATAGCTCAGGGTAGACTCACAGCTCAGAGTAGGGCCATAGCTCAGGGTAGACTCACAGCTCAGAGTAGGGCCATAGCTCAGGGTAGACTCACAGCTCAGAGTAGGGCCATAGCTCAGGGTAGACTCACAGCTCAGAGTAGGGCCATAGCTCAGGGTAGACTCACAGCTCAGAGTAGGGCCATAGCTCAGGGTAGACTCACAGCTCAGAGTAGGGCCATAGCTCAGGGTAGACTCACAGCTCAGAGTAGGGCCATAGCTCAGGGTAGACTCACAGCTCAGAGTAGGGCCATAGCTCAGGGTAGACTCACAGCTCAGAGTAGGGCCATAGCTCAGGGTAGACTCACAGCTCAGAGTAGGGCCATAGCTCAGGGTAGACTCACAGCTCAGAGTAGGGCCATAGCTCAGGGTAGACTCACAGCTCAGAGTAGGGCCATAGCTCAGGGTAGACTCACAGCTCAGAGTAGGGCCATAGCTCAGGGTAGACTCACAGCTCAGAGTGGGGCCATAGCTCAGGGTAGGCTCACAGCTCAGAGTGGGGCCATAGCTCAGGGTAGACTCACAGCTCAGAGTGGGGTCATAGCTCAGAGTAGGGCCATAGCTCAAGGTAGAACCATGGCTCAGCATAGGGTCATAGCTCAAGGTAGGGCCATAGCTCATGGTAGAACCATAGGTCAGAGTAGGGCCATAGCTCAGGGAGGGACCGTAGTTTCGGCCAGACTGTAGCCTAGGATAGGGCCCGCTCTTCTATCTGGTGACTCCCACTAAGGCCTGACTGCACATCTTGGGAAGGATTTGAAAACTGTCAGAATGACATTATTCCATCTCACTCCTTCTGCCCAGGAAAGCCCAGCAGAACCGGAGGGGATTTTCAGAGGAGCAGCTCCGCCAGGGACAGAACGTGATAGGTCTGCAGATGGGCAGCAACAAGGGCGCCTCCCAGGCGGGCATGACGGGGTACGGGATGCCCAGGCAGATCATGTGAGGCGCCGCACCCACCCCAGGTAGAGAGGACGAACGCTCCACACCGCGGTCTCTACGACAAAGAAATAGTTAGTCACCTTCCGACCTTTCTCGAAGCCTCCCGTCCCCGGTTTGCAAGTGCTGCCTTTCTGCTGCGACTCCGCGTTGCCTCCTGCTGCCACCCCCTGTTCATTTCGAGAACTATGCAAAGACCCCGCGCCCCGCCCTCCGCTCCTTTGCCCTCAAGTCTCCGTTTGTCTGATTATTTATTTATTTATTTGCCCCAGATTTCCCCCCTCAACTTATAGAACACGCCAAATAAACGAACCAGTCTTGTGTCTTGAAGTGTCAGCTTCATTCGCCGTCCTAGGGGCTTCGCAGGCAGGGCTGATTTCTGTTTCATTCGAGCGGCCAGCAGGATGGAATTAAGCCGTAGCTGCGGCTGTGGACAGAGGTCGTTGGCTTCGAGGACGCCCTTGCAAGGCTGTGATGTTTACCTCTGCAGTTGTGGTCGAAAGTTCAGAAATGGTTTCGCCCACTCTGAGAACCGAATGCCATAAATTCAAGAATAAAGCCTTTGACCCCCATGAATTTTTTGAGTACCTACCTTGTGCTGATTATTTTAGACTCTGGAGGTGGGGTGGGGGGGACACAGGAAGGAGCAAGCCAAAACCCCAGTTCTTAAGGTGCTCTCTATCGATGCCCAGGAAGTGTCCGATGGATGGGTGGTTTTGTCGAATGGATGGGTGATGAATGGCTGAAGGAATGAGCAGTTTACACTTCCCTGGCAATGATCTTCCCCCTACGGCCAGACCCAGGGTCTGATGTCAACATTTATGCAGTCTCTTCACCAGCCAGGAGCGATAGGCAATGCAGAGTGTGTGCTTACAGTTATTTATAGGGTCTGAACCCCTCAACTATTGCCTAAGACTGAGAGCTAGCATGGATGGGATGGGTTTTAAAGATTTTCTGCTCCACAGAAAAATTAAGAGGGCAAATAAGCCTGGGAACCACCAATTCATCTCATTCTTGCTACCAGGAGAAACAAGGGGAAAAAGCGATGCATTCAAGTAAGAAAAGGAGTAAGGTCTTTTATTACTATAATGAATTGTTAATAAATAAGAAAAGGTAAAATAAATGAAACTATAAACATTGCCACACTCTGTTTGGGCAGTGGTTTTTCAGACTGTGATCTTTGCAGTCCTAAGCTACCGTAGAGATTTCTGTGGGATCCACATAGCAGGGGAGGGCAGGGCTGCTGAGGAGGCAGACTCCTGGGTCCCCAGTCCTGCTTCAGTCCAAGCATCGCTGATCTTACCCATTTCGTACATTAGGACTCAGCAGAAGATTTTAAAAGAATTAATATTAAAACACACATACACACACAAAACAACAAAACAAACAAGGGAAAGGATTACACTAAAGGAAATTAGCCTGAGAGTCACCTAAGGGACCTAACGTGTCCTCTGACAACCACTGGTGACCTGTCCGTTCCTGGTAAGATGTCGCGTGAACACGTCAGCTGAATTCCTTCTTCAAACCTTCTCTTGAAGTTGCCGCAAAAGCAAAAGGGGGAGGTTGACAGGTACGCAAAAGTGAAATATAACTGGGAGGAAATTTCTGGAGAGAGATGGTGATGCTTGTGTCTGTTTGGGATTGGGAGTCGAGGGGCATGGGAAATAGTTTTCATCAGCAGGGGTGATAGGTTTGGGAGAGAGCTTCCAGGCTCTGCCTGTTTCTCACATTGCCCAAGCTCCACCACTGCTATGCCAGAGACAATAAGAAGCAGAACAACAGAAAAATCAGCACAGAGCTAGAAGGAAGTAGCCTGCCAAATCCATGGCAATGCCAGGGCCCAGGTGGAGTGAGGAGCATGCATTAAGAGCAGTGCTGAACTTGCCAACACCTGGGCATCTCCTCCTTCCAACATGCCCAAGCCACCCCCTCAGGCTCCCAGCCCTTTAGTCCCATCGGATGATTACAGCCTGGAAATGAGCCTGTTGAAAACTGTGAGGTCCTAGGGCGGAATGGTCAGCATTGAGGTAGGAGGTAACAGAGGGTGAGACAGCCCAGTTTGTAATTCCCAAGGCTATCCGCGTCCATATTACTTCCAGCTCCCCAAACTCACCTGAATCTATCCAAGCTATAGCCTCAGATTCTTTCCTTTTCCCAACTGTGCATTTGCAGTCAAGGTAGCTGATAACCTCAGGGAAATGAGTCCACAGGCAGCAATTGGAACCCCTGAGGGGTGCAGTAAGTACAGCCATCAAAAGACACACCAATCTGCCCTGCCAGATGGAGCACAATTCACAGACCGGATCGAAGAATCATTTACATTCAGTCTAATACACTAAAGATAATAAGGGAAAATATTGGAAACACAGAGCAATAATCCATTATAAAGAATAAGTTGGAAATATGGAACATAAAAAATAAAGGAAATAAAGATTGATAGTAAAAAGGATTAGAAGAACAAATGAATAAATTGGAATGTAAAGACAAGGCACACTGTAAAAAAGATAGGCACAAATAGATGGTAAATACAAGATAAATATTAAGTGATATGGGTCAAAAACCATATAATTGGAATCTCAGAAAGGAAGGGGGGGGAAATCAATGCACAGGGGGAAGAATTTAAGAAATAATTTTGAGAATTGAATTGAATTAAAAAAAGGCCTAAGAACTCAGTTTTAAAAGACTTATAAAGTGCCAAAATAATAAAACAATGAGAGCTCTCAGTGGGAATCATTATAGTAAAATGTATGACCTTTGAAAATAAGTAAAAAACTCTCAAAGCTTTCAAAAGAGTAAAAAGCTCATTACATACAAAAAAAAAAATCAGTTTGACATTGAACTTCTCAACAGTAACTCTGAATGCACAAAGTAATATTTTCAAAAAATATTGAGTACATAATATAGCTAAGTAATTTTTAAAGCCTGAAAGCAAAAATATTAAAAACTTGGTGGATTAAGTATTCCAGTAAGAAAGATATATTACCTGGAAAAGCTATTTCATATGGGAAATGACAATAAGTGAGTTAGAAAACTCTATTTTTATTTAAATATACAAGGGCAAAGGCAAATAAAAGAGATAAAAATTTATACCTGTAACAACTCAAACTAAAATTCCAGACAATACCAATATGGTATGTAAAGCATGAGTGGAGAAGACAGAGAAAAGGGGTAGGTGAGACTGCTAAGGGAAATGTCCTGTTTGGAGAAAATACAGAGATATTGATAAGAAATTGTTAGGAGAATACAACTCACATCATGAGGCCAACTTAACATTGGTTCAAAGCCCAAAAGAATTAAAAAAGGAAATTACAGGCTGATTTCAGTGAGAACATAGATATAAAAGATTCTAAATAAAATAAAACCTAACCAACTGCAAACGTATATTTTAAATATCTGCTAGAATGATCCACTTTCTCTCTTTGAGATAATTTTTTTTTTTTTTTTTTTTTAAACAA